GTGTGTGTGTGTGTGGTGGTGGGTGGTGTGTGCGGTGTGTGTGCTTGTGTGTGTGTGTGTGTGTTGTGTGGGTTTGTGTGTGTTATGTGTGTGTGTGTGTGTGTGTTGTGTTGTGTGTGTGTGTTGTGTGTGTGTGTGTGATGTGTGTGTGTTATGTGTTGTGTGTGTGTGTGTGTGTGTGTGTGTGTTGTGTGTTGTGTGTGTTGTGTGTTTGGTGTGTGTGTGTGTGAGATTGTGTGTGTGTGTGTGTGTGTGGTGTGTGTGTGTGTGTGTGTGTGTGTGTGTGTAAACAGGGTTCATGAGGATGTTGCCCAGCACGAGATTTGCTTTATAAATGGATCTGAGGCATTTCGGAGCCAGGCTTGGATTTCATGGCTTCTGAGAAGGCAGGGACTCTTCCTATATCTATCTCTGTCTCAGTCTATTTCTCTCGCTCCCTCTCTCCTCGCAGGTTTGCAGACTATTTCTGCATTAATCACCATGACACAGGCAAGGCAACTCAATTTTCTGCTCCTGTAGGTAAGGTGCGTGGCGTCCCGAAACGGTGGCACGAGGCATGAAACAGGCAAGCGGGGGCTAATCTTTGGTTACTGGTGTAATTGAAATGCTATCCACACTGTAGGGTGCATTAAAGTCTGATAACAGCGGTTCCTGTGGCCAATTTAAGTAGCTTGACTTCCCTTGGCTAGAAGGGAATAAAGAAAAGGGTGAGAGACAGAGACTGAAAGAGAGAGAGGATGTCAGAATGGATGGGGGGAGGGGGAGGGAGGGGGCTGATAGATAAGGCCGACAAACCAGGCTAATTCTCTAGGCATGTTTCTCATTGTGATCCAGGAAAAATGAGGAAAAAAATGTATCACGGAACCAAAAAATCAATTGACCCTCGGGTGGCTTGTCAGGCTGTGAGTCTGATAAACCTAAAAGCTTCGTTAATGTCGGCCTGCCTGTAACCAACAGATAGAGCACTTTGTAAATGAACCCGCTTTGATAAATATATTAAGGAAAGCTGTGAATAAAAGGCACAGACTTGTCATTTGTAAATAGAACCCCCGCTACATGGAATTAGAATGATAAAATGGGGTTCCATATAATTAAGTTTGTGTAAGACCTGAAATCCGTGCAAATACCTTCCCGGAAATTTGAAAAGAAGCTGTCAGTTCAATTAATCTGAACATCACCCTGAGAATGTACTGAACAAAATTAAGCTGCAGATAAAACCTGGGCTAGTATTTTGATAAGTAATTCCTGTATCATTTCTTTGCTTCTGTGATCATTTTATTTAATCCACCACCCCCAGTTATGTGCTAAGCCATCTACAAAGGCCCTGCTGGCCAGGCCACCAAAACCTTAATCCACCATATAGCTTGCGCAAAATGGGGAGGGGGTGGCAGTCAGTTTTGCCTTTTGTCGGGGGCACCAGTGACGGTGCTAGGTATGTTTTTTGGATGAAGGGGTGGGGTGGGTGTGGGGGTTGTAGGGGTAGCTTATGATCGCTGCCTTTCTCCCTTAAATATATCCCACTGAATACATGTGCATCAAACCACAAAGGCCACTGACTTAGCCGCAGAACACTTTGCCGATAACACCGGAACATCCGAGTAGCTTATATGTAATAATGTTACAAAGGTTGTCCGTGTGTAGATCGTCGTGTGCTGCTACGTGTGTGTTTATATGCGGCGGGGAGGGCTGTACATAAACGGTTTTCACACTTGGCGCGGAAGAAGGAGGCGAAGGCTTTTGAAAATGAAAGGCAGAGCGATGCTGGTGGTGGAGATAGGGCGAACGGAAATCTTGACTCACCAGTTGTTTACTTGTAAGATGGTGAGGCCTGTGTCTTGGGCTAGCTGCTTCTTCTGCTCTTCAGAGGGGTATGGGTGCTGCAAGAGCAAACAGAGAGAGAAACATACAGATTAATATAAATATTCAGATAAAAACACTCATTAAGGGAAGCGCTGGAAGGACTTGCTCCGAGTCAAGTTCCCGACTATTGCTTGTTACTGTATGTATTCAATATGTGCCCCTGTTTGTGTATTGTGTAACCCAAGACTGCACCTTCTTATGACCTCTACCCAACCCTGCCCTTCATTTTCACTGTATAGACATTCACAGTTCACACGTGTCCGCCCACACAACAACACACATGCACAGTTCAGTGTTAAAACTGCCAGAGCTGGCCCAACACGTTTGTCAACTGTGATAACCCCCTCCCCTATCCCCCACCCCACCCACCCACACACAAACAAAATATCATGTACAGACTGAGCATGTCTACAAGCAGAAATAAACGAACTCTTACAAGCAAACACAAAGATTTTCTAGCGGGCCTAACAGCACATACTGTGGTGTCACTCTGAAGATCCTTTTTTAATACTGAGCAACATAATGAGTGGGTGCAGATTTACAGTGGATACATTGATCTTTTCTTGAATGTCTGACATGTATCGTGGTATTGGCTCTTTCATAGAGAGCAGCTGAATACGGGCTAATGCTAAAAGAACAGAATGCTGTGAAATCTCCTCCACAGCCTCGCCAAGAATTCTACCTGAAAATGTAATTCTGCGACCAGGGATGCAATGATACTATTTGTGTCAGGTCCAATCTAGAGAACATGGGCTGATATAAATGGCAGGCCTTGGTCTGCCTTGCTCCCCCTGGGCTTGCTATGAAGCATGACAAAACAACAGTGATCGCTGGTGACAGATGTCTTTAAGGGCCAGATTAGGAGTCGGGGCGCACGCAAATGAAACAAATGAGACACTATGCGTTTCATTCAGCCACTGGAGACAGAACCCATGCATGCAAACAGAGATACACATTCATTTGTGTACAACTATGTGCAAAAAGAAATGCACACAAGTAAATATTCTTAGACATGACACCTGCAAATCACAACACACAAAAAAAACCCTTTTTAAAGCTGACACTTAAATCCTCCTCTATATTCGGATGGCTTCAAGCTCCATTAACACACATTCTTCCCCTTCAATGAAAACACCTATAGCCTCACATCTTAGACGCTTTTTTCAGCCTCACACTCATCGAGAAAGCAAATTGCATGAAGCTGGTAATGTCTGCCTGACTCGCGTTAATTTAATTCAATTTTAACTTGAAATGATAACAGTTGCTCAAGAACAGTTTTCTCATTTATTACTGCTGAAATAATTGATGTAAGTGAGGTTCCGTATCAGCAGAGAGGACTATTTCTCCTTTCAGGTAGTACTGCCTGTCTAAATGTAGTCTGTTTTAATTAAAGGAGAGACCAAAAAAATGGTTAGAGGAATGTGCTCAATTAATAACAAACAAGGCTGAGATTGGACAAATAATGAGTCCCGGCTGCAGAAAATGATTACTCTGATTTGTACTTGTGTTCGTGGTCCCTTTTAATATGCTAAAATTATTAACAAAGGAAAGATGATAATGCTTGCATAGGAATACATTTTTTGATTGCCACGTGTTGACATTTCCCTGGCTAGGCAAGACAGAGCAATGTCTATTGGTTTCTGTGTGTGTGTGTAAATGTGCTTAGTAAAATGCAATGTGTGCAACAGATATACACATCTACATCCCTGTGTGTGTGTGTGTGTGTGTGTGTACATGTGTGTGTGTGTGTTTGACCATTTTGAACAACATGTAATAAGAGCACAACCTCTCTTTCCCTCCCCCTTACACACCCAAGCTTCCTAGGCGTTTTCATATTAGCTATGACCCCGGTCACGATCAAAACACGCACTCTTTTTTGTGTACGCACACTACACAAACATGTACACAAATTGAGACAGAGCTAAAGATGATGTGGTATGGAGGTGTGGGGAGAGGAGCAGCCTAGATTGGAAATGGGAGTGGGTCATTTACATTGTATTAAGGCTTCCTCAGCCTCTCAAGCCCAGACCCGGTCATCAATCGCATACTGTCAGCCGGAGCGCGCTTTAGCCCAGTGATAAATACGCCCGGCCAGCGGCATAGCTCGTCCAGCAGCCACCACGTAATGAATGGTTTGAACAAACAAGAAAGATGTCTCATCAAGGAGAGTGGGGACGTTAAAGCCCCCCTCACACACAAAACCCTGAGTAAGGAGATTTACTCTGACCACATAGACACGACTCCGTTCATCTCATATACCCCTCCCAGCTCTGGCTCATCCACCTCTCCTCGCCTCCCTGTGTCAGACTAGATTTCTCCCCTGCAACTCCCAAGACTTGCATGCACATATGCACAAGAGACGCAAACACACACATACAAACACAATATGTCTGTATACAACCTATCCTCACTTCATCTATCCTCAACTCTTGCTGACCCCCCTCCCCAACACACACATACTTTTTATGACTGTTACTGCAGGCCACCCACACTTTATGTTGTGGCAGCTTTTCTTAGAGTATGGGGCTCAGAAATCCAAGCTACAGAAAATAGTGTGTGGTGGCAATGGTGACACACACACACAGAAACACAGACGTGAGAAATAAGCCGACATGGTGGGCCTAGTGGTTACAGCGCTGCAGCAGCCGTGAAATTGGAGAACGTCTATTTAGACCTCTGGGTAACCTCTTAATGTTAATTGCCTCAATAAAAATAAAAAAATGTTTGTAAATCATCCAATGAGCACAAAAACAAATCTGATATGAAAAGAGTAAACGTGAGATGAATTGGCGAATGCATTTTAAACAAAGTGCTAAATCTGTTCTAATGTGTTTCTTCCTGGATATGTCCTTCCCTACCCTCAGGAGACAGTATGACATGGTTATTTAATGGATGAAACACAAACACGGAGCAAGATCAAAGATGGTATTGATAATCTCCCCACTAGCTTTGGATCCGCTCAATATGTTCAGTTCCAACCACCAAGGCCAATATCCTTAAAACAGGATTGACCGCAAAACGTAAAACATCCAGTCTATAAATAATTAGAGCGAGAAATAAGCAGCCTTAATTTGTTGTCTAGGCAGAGTGGGATCGAAAACACCTCTGTTAATTATGCTGGAGGCTGTTAATGGCACAAGCCTGCACTATCCTGATGCACACATGTTGTCCAACTCCTGCAATCTCACCTAAAAAAGCACAGCTAAACATCAACACAAACACACACACAGGTGGATCACATTCTGCCAGTCATTCAGAATGAAGCTGTGTGTGTGTGTGTGTGTGTGTGTGTGTGTGTGTGTGTGTGTGTGTGTGTGTGTGTGTGTGTGTGTGTGTGTGTGTGTGTGTGTGTGTGTGTGTGTGTGTGTGTGTGTGTGTGTGTGTGTGTGTGTGTGTGTGTGTGTGTGTGTGTGTGTGTGATGGCTAAATTACAGGGTGCGATGTGTTCTGTGCTCTCTGATAGTGCTGGATGTAATGGCCCCTATGGTTGCAGAACATTACAAGCTGAGGGGGCTCCATCATCTGCTGTGTACGGTCCTTAAACCCCCCCTGAGCCCCAGCTTGGCGTTTCACCATATACAATAACCACGGCCAGTGCTGGACCACTCGTACTTCACACCACACCAGTCCTATCTACTCCTTCAACATCCCGCCTGCTGTATATCAGATACTCTCCCGACACCTATTTCGCCGCCGTCCTCAAACCCCACAGCCCGATCATTATCCCGGTCGCTCCGTTCAACCCTTGCAAGAGTCGCTGGTGGACCCCATTGATTAATGACATCATCAGTGTGTGACATGAGTTATAGAGCAAGGTCACAAGGTCGCAGTGGCTTGCAAACCTATTCCATGCTAATGACTTCCAGGAAATCAAAAGCCATTGGCTGTTTACCCTGTTGCCGGGGCAACACAGAGGATCTGCTGATGACGATTCATGTGATTTAGCCTTTGCTTCTTTCTCACTTGCATTGGGTTATTAGATAATCTCGTGTATATATTTTGTATATGTTTAAAATACTTTGTATTAAAGTTTTAGTGATTATAAAAAGTGGCAAATGCTTAACAGACATCATTTTATATAATAGCTTCTTGCATAGAAATGCGTGGTGGAAATATTTGATGGGCTTCAATGTGAGTTTGTGTTTAGTTTCCAGCATTATTGTATCCCAGTATTTCCTTTCATATATCCCCTCCCTCACATTGATTGGAATCTTATTTGTTTTTAATCAAAGCGACGGGAGGATGATAATAACATTCACTGTCAGAAATAAACGCAATCAAATATAGGAATGACATTTTAATATGAATTCTGCATAAGATTGGCACATTTTAAATATGAAGTTGCCATTGTTAATAATGCTACAATTGGCTCCTTTGACAAATGACAATGAGATTGAATGCATATCGGCATTACCGGGAGATCAAACAGATATGACAAATAAATCCAGTTGGAGTTTTTGAATCCATCACGCGTGTTTACTATGCGCACAGCAATCTCTGGCTTTTTAGCTGCAGTTTTCTGACAGATTTTGTGGTTTAAATGGAAGCACGCAGTTAATAACTTCCATCTGTAAACATCAAATAGATCGATGAATGACAATTAAAAGAGGAGCTTCATATTTCTATGATAATCATTTTTCAAATGTATCAGCAAAGTATTACTATCAAATAAAAATTCTGACCGAAGTAATGCTTTGTGATTTCAAACTTAAATTAGATTTTTTAATCAATTGTGAACTAATGTCTAGTTTATTATCATACTTAGCCGAGCATTAACGAATATAAATATATATGTATTACTATTTCCACACCTATCATCACCATTTATATCTTTATGCTCAATGCTATATATATGTTCTTTATTCTGTATTTTCTTCCATCACTCTCTCCCTCTCTTTGTGTGTTTTGTTTGAGGCGGTTTGAGATTGGGGGAGTCAAGTTTTTTGTGTTTTTTCTGTGTTTGTTTTATTTTACTGAGAACTAAACCGCTTCCTGACAACAGTCTGAAAACAGGCAA